TATATTTATAAAATTTGTTTCTTTGTTTTTTGGGTACGAGAAAACTTGTTTCCCTATGTTACTGCAAAAAACCTTAAGGATCATTCGCAGTAAAAGAAAAATTTGCACAAGATCATGCATGTTACCCTTAGTTATCGACTTTAAATTGCTTTGACATAACTTTTTTTTAAAAAACCGATTTGATATTAAATTACAAGTTCAATTATTAATATTGTTGTTGTTGTTGTGAGGCTGTACCACATGAACTTCCAATAAAAAGTTAGGAAATTTGGGTAAAACCTAGGACCCAAAGGATTACTCCCTCGTCTCCTTCAATGAAATAATATTTTATTTTGATTAGGAGATTTAATTAATTAGCTTTAAGTTGATGTATCTAGACATCTCAAAATTTAGGTACTTAGTTATGTAAAGTCCAAAATTGTTTTTGATTTTGACACTTGGCAATAAAAATATGTACATTTTTTTTAAAAAAATAATTTTTTTGTGTAGAGGATAATTATTTTTTGATTTATTCCTTTAATGACTTTATTTGGTTGAAGGTTTGTTTAACAGAAGTTTTTTGTTGGAGAAGTACTTTTGTTCCTTCTCTATTTGCTTAGTGAAAAGTTGTTAAAATGTAAAATAAAAAATTGTTTAATGTAATACCAATTATGTTATAATTAGTTTATTTGTAAGTTTTCAAAAAGTATTATTTTTATTTTCAAACTTGCTTTTTGTTTGGTAAAAAAAAAAAGAACAAGCAGTATAAATAGAAAGATATAATATTTGAAAAAAATCTTTATATTATTTAAAAAAATTTAATTAAGTTTTTATTCTTTTATTACATTCAATCAAATTCATATATTTTTATTTTAAATCAAACAAACTTTTAGGACTAATAGTTGATTAATGTTTTTAATCAAAATATTATTAATTATTTTATACTCATGAGATGTTAACGTGAAAAATAAAAAATATCACATAATCACATTATCATGCTACATCAGTATATCACGTTATCATTTATTATGATATATTAGCATGTAGAATCAATGTTATATAATAAAAATGACTAGTGATATTTTAACTAATAATATTTAGTTAAACATTAATCTTAAAAATTTATTTGATTTAAAATAAAAATATAATAATTTGATTGAAATGTAACAAAAGAATAATAATTTATTTAAATTTTATTAAAAAATTTAAAAACCTTTTACATATTAAGCCAAATTAAAATCATAATGAAACCTAACAAATAATAGTGTATCATATACATAACCGAAGTCAATATCAACGGCTAAATGGCGACCCCTTCATTATGTATCACGTTGGCTAAGCCACAGCTCTTGTTAGGTTACTATTAATAGATTTGATTAAGTGGTCCATTTAATAGATGAACTTGATTAAATGAATTTTGGCAATATATACGGTAAAAGTTAATAATTTTTGTACGAACAAGATAATAATTTTTGTACGAACAAGATAATAATTTGTTGACTACTATTCGTTGTATATTATCTATATATTTATATTTAATCAGAACTTATATTTGATAAATATATATTAATGTAAATAATCAAATATATAAGGTAAAAGAAGTAGAATCTCAAGCATAAGATCTCGACTCTCCATTAGAGTGTTAATATAATCTATGAATTTTAACTGGCTATGTCATCAAAAAATTTTTTATAAACTGGCGAGTAAATATAAATTTTATTGACGTAATAAAATCAATAATTGTATTTATTAATAGAATATCGAATATAAATCTTACATATAGAAAGATTTTTGTTTAGTCTACTCAACTTGGTCTTTTGACCCAATAATTAATTTTATTCAATTTGATGATCAAAAAGCTGTTGAATAGGATAATAATAAGTTTATTGTAATTAGTTAAGTTTAATCCAAATGATAAGATAAGATGCAAATTTAGGTAAAAATCTCCTAGTCGAATATTGACGATGTTTTGTCTAATTTTTAAAAGATAATAAGTTTATTAAATCAAAGTTTAAATAATTCTTTACATGTTTTCAGCACTCTAAAGAGCACTAGAGGTCAGCCATTACTATCAGATAATGTAGATCTATTGAAATAAAATATTAATTAAAAAATAAAAACATAATACTCAAAATATTATAAATAATTTTATGAATATCCATTTATAGTATATATATCTAGATTTGAATGTAAATTAGATTAGATAAAAATTAAGATTTAATCCATCCATCTAATCTTTTAATATTATCTTCATATTGTAAATTCTATCTAGAAAATAGGTTATTAGCTATAAATAGGCCATTCACTTTACTTAAATAAGATTTTTTTACTCTCTCTAAATACTTTCTCTATATTTGTTATTTCAAATTATATTTTATAATACATTATCAGCACGATTCTTTAACCTTTCAAGTTTTTGTATTATTTTATTTTCATCATTTTAAGCTTCAAAAGGATTTCAATAATTGAATTTTAATTTCTAGTTTCAACAAATTAGGTAAGTGCTGTTTTTTTTTTATTTTCATTATCTCTAAACTTTAAAAGGATTTAAATGGTTGGTCTTTAATTACTAATTAAAGCAAATCAAGTAAGTGACTTGATATCTTTTGGTATTTTAATTTTTTAAAAATTAACCTTATGCTATCATGTATTATATATTTTATTTTATCTCTTAATTGAAAAGTGAATTTACTATTATATAGCTACTAATGGAAAATCATGAATCGGTCCACTCTAAGTAAATGTGACATCATTTAACAATTATGGTCGTGAACATGAAAGAGGTCACCATAATAATTTACATTAATCACTATTTTAATTTTATGGATAATTTTACCCACAAAAAGTAGATAAATACTTTTAACCCACTTTTAACCTATTAGAAATGGATGAATAATGAAAAGATAAAAATGGACAGAATAAAAGGAATATAGAAAATGTTTGTCACATATCTGTACGTCTTGAATTTTATTAAGCTAAAACATATTGTGATGATACCATAGCCAAGTTGATATGTTGTTGATTTTCTTGTCTACCATGAAAAGAGAATTGATCACATGATTGGTAATAAAATATTGTTGATTTTTTTGTCCATCTTAAAAGAGGAATTGACTATTTGATTGGTAATAGAAATATTTAAAAATGAATTTTTTAATAGTTTGTTGGTATATTTTAGTATAACTCTATTATAAATATGCTTTTATAAGTTTTCATTATATTTAAATAATATGTTCTTATTATGTATTTTAATTATATATTTAATATTCTTTCATGTTAACTTGTAAACTCTTATTGTATATATCTTACTTTATTGAAAAAAAAATATTCATCTTGTTGGATCAAGATCCATGATGTAAATATATTTCTAGTAGGCATTGCCATAATGCACGTTATATTTAAAGATAAAAAATATTTTTTCAACTTAACCATGGAAGAAACCAATGTCAATACAATATTTGATAATACAAGATTAATTAAAAGCTGCGAAAGAGTCACTATTTTACTATCTTGAGGAACAAAGTTTAAAATAAAAAATGTATTATTTTTAAAATCTCAAAAAAAATTTATTGAGTTTTAAATATATTCATCTGATTGGATATCATATTGAGATAATGAAAGAAATAAACATTTAAAACCTCTATATTACATCTATTATTTCAAATAAGAAGCGTGTGTTAAAAAAAATTACCCGTTTTGTTTTATGAATTGTATTATACAAACATTAGAATAATTAAAACTTATACTGTAGTAAACTAAAAATTTACTAATAATTTTAATATTTGGCATGAATGGTTGGACCATCCTAAATTAATAATGATGCAAAAAATTATTGAATATTAATGCGATTTTATGTGTTTCTTGCACTGAAAGACAATTAATTATAAGGCCATCTTTAGTTAAAGTTGACTGAATCCCCTACATTTTTGAAACATATTCAAGGTGATATATATGGATTTATACATCCATCATGTAGATCATTTAGATATTTTATAATTTTAATAGATGCATTGAGTAGATGGTAACATGTGTACTTATTATTAGCTTGCAATTTAGCATTTGCAATCATTCGTTTACAAGTATATTTTTCTTGTTATGTAAGCAAGACTATTTGTCTTTATAATGTTGGTGAATTTACATCTCATGCTTTTAATAAATCTATATATTAGTTGAAATAACTATTGAACAATATGTTGTTTATGTTCATATACAAAACGATTAGCAAAATCGTTTATTAAACACTTCAAACTGATTGTAAAGCCATTGTTTATGAAATCTAAACTCCCAATTGCTATTTGGGGCATGCCATTTTGGATGTAGCAACATTTGTACGCATCAAGCTAAACGAATTATTATAAATTATCCTTTATACGATTAATTTATAGTCAGGAACAAAATATTTCTTATCTAAGAATTGTTAGGTGTGTGGTATATATTCCACTTACTCCACCACAATACACAAAGAGAAGTCCTCAAAGGAGATTTAGAATATATGTTGGATATGAATTTTCATTTGTAATTAAATATTTAGAATTATCAACATGAGATTTATTCACAATAAGGTTTATCGATTGTTATTTTGATGAAACAATTTTTTTAATATTATGGGGAAAAAATAAGCAACTCAAAAATTAAATTTCTTGAAATATCTTATTATTATTATTATTATTATTTAGTTTTGATCCTCACTCAAATCAAAATGAACTTGAAATTGAAAATATAATTTTTTTATAAAATAAAGCAAATCAGTTGTCGGACGTATTTACTGACTTAAACAGAATAACTAAATCTTATATACCAGCTGCAAATATTCCTTGTAGAATTAATGTCCCTGTAGGAGAAGTCAAGCTAAAAGTGTGGAGACTAATTGGTTTCAAAGATAAAATCCTCAAAAAAAAATAAATATTCAAGATAGTTAAAAAGAGAAAGTAAAAACTCTAAAAGAGACCCCTAACATAATTGATAAAAATTACAGAAGAAATTCAAGTATATGAAATCATTGAAAATTGAGAGATCTCAATCAATTATGTCACGATGGGAAAAGATAGAACCAAAATGAAATAAATGTCGATTATATTTTTGCATATAATGTAGCACTCATAATTATGAAAGAAAATGAGGATCTTGAACTTATATATATTGAAAAATGTAGAAATAGAAATAATTAGCTAATGTGGAAAAACACAATCAAGATGGAATTGACATAAATGGGTATAAATGGGTATTTGTGCGATATAAATGGTGCAAAACGAAAAAGTGTAAAACCAGTGAGATATAAATGAGTATTTATGTAAAAATAAAATAAGAAAAATGATATATAAAGCATGACTTGTCACACAAGGTTTTATCCAAAGACCTAGTATTGATTATGAAGAGACATATTTTCTTATGGTAGATATAATTATAATTTTTTATTAATTAGTCTGGCAATACATGAGAAGATTCAAATGCATCTAATGAATGTAGTTACAATCTATTTATATGACTCACTTAATAAAAATATTTATATAAAAATCCTAGAAAGGTTTAAGTTGCCTGAAGCATAAAAAATTTGAATTCTTGAAAAATTTATTAGATCAAATTAAGTAAATATTTATCTGAATTAAAGTAATCTGAACGCAAGTGATATAATTGCCTTAATGAATAATTGTTAAAAGAAGGCTATACGAATGATCCTATATGCCCATGTGTTTTATAAAAAGATTCAGATTTGAATTTGTGATAATTGTTGTTTTTGTTAATAACTAGAATATAATTAGAACTCCTGAAGAGTTATCAAAAGTCTAGATTACTAAAAAAGGAATTAGAGATGAAAGACCTTAGAAAAATAAAATTTTGTTTGAGTATTCAGTTTGAATACTTGACAAATGAAAATTTTGTTCATCAATTAAATTTTATAGCAAAAGTGCAAAAATAACTCTATATGGACAAAGCACATTTATTGAGTTTACTAATGGTTATAAGGTCACTAAATGTGAAAAAAGAGCCTTTCCAACCTCGTGAAGATGATGAGGAACTTCTTGTACTTGAAGTATCATATCTTAATGTAATTGGAGCACTAATGTGTCATACTAGCTATACATGACTTCATATATCAATTGTTTTAAATTTATTAGCAAGATATAATTCTTTTTCAACTCAAAAACATTAGAATAGAATTAAACATATACTTCGATATTTTCAAAGAACAATGGATATAGGTTTATATTGCTCAAATGCATTAAAATCAGACTTAATTGGTTATGCAGATACGAAATATTTATCTGATTTGCACAAACTCGATCCCAAACATGTTACTTATTCACATGTGGAGGCACAACTGTTTTATAGTGTTTTGTAAAACAACTTATAGTTGCTACTTTTTGTAACTATGTAAAAATTTTAGCAATTAATGAGGCAAGTCATGAATGTGTCTAGTGAAGATCTATAACTCAACATATTTAAAAAAAAAATGTGGTTTATCAACCAAAAAGGAATTGCTAACAACATTATATGAGAATAATATCGCTTGCATAGCCCAATTAAAGAAATTATACATTAAAGACGATAAGATAATACATATTTCATCAAAATTCTTCTTCACTCATAATCTTCAAGAAAAAGTTAGTATTCGTGTTCAACAAATTTGTTTATATGACAATCTAGTATATTTGTTCACTAAAGTCATTCCTACTGTAATATTTGCAAAGTTGATACAAAAGATAGGAATGGGTCATTTTAAAGATTTCAATAATGTAGTAATCAAGGGAAGTAAAATACATATTGTACTCTTTTTCTTCATCAAGAATTTTTCCATTAAGTTTTTCTTGATAAGGTTTTTAGTGAGGTAATATTTTAAAAGCGTATTTTTGAAAAGAATTATGAACTCTTTTTCCTTAACTCGGATTTTTTTTCCATGAGGTTTTTCTTTGTAAGGTTTTAATGAGATATATTTTTAATACAATGGATATTCAAGGGGGAGTGTTATGAATATTTTTGTGAATATCCATTTTTGTTATGTATATCTAGATTTTGATGTAAATTAGATTGAATGAAGATTAGGATTTATTCATTTATCTAATCTTTTAGTATTATTTTCATCTTATATTCTATCTAGATAAAGGTTATTAGCTTATAAACATGCCCATTCACATCATTGGTAAATATATACTTGAATAAGATCTTCTTATTGACTGTAAATATTTTCTCTACCTCTAAATACTTTTTCTATATTTGTTATTTCAAGTTCTATTTCATAACATAAAAAGGTTTTGAAATTATTTAATAAAATTCAAATAAGTTTTTATTATTTTGTTACATTCAATCAAACCCTTATATTTTTATTTTAGGTCAAATAAGCTCTTATGATTAATAATGAACTAATTATCATTACTTAAAATACCATTTGTTATTTATATCCACATGACAATGACCTAACGTTCATATGAATCATGAAAAATATCACATGATCATATTATTATGTCAAATTAACATATTATGTTAGCATTAATTATGATATGTCAACATACTACATTATTATTAATTATAATATGTTAGCATATTATGTTAGTATCATGTGATATAAGATGAAAAATAATGTTTTGTCTAAGTTAATAATTAATTATAAGGGCTTAATTGAAAGTAATAAATATTTAAATATTTTTGAATAATTAAAAACATTTTTAAATATTATGTAAAAAATAAATGGTTTTTGACCATAGCAATTAAAACTCGAGTGGTTACATATGTACTTTCAGTTACAACTTGTATAAAATTATTGTCATTTGCACACCGGTTAGTACGTCTCGTTTGCTTTATTAACTGTAGGGGCTTCGTCTCCAATGTGCTAAGTTTGGTCAGGCCGCTCAATTGCTGGATAAGAGGCGCATTTCCCTTTGTTTAAAGAAAACCCACACGTGATTTTTACAACCCTATTAGACGGAAAGTGCATCTATGACGAAAGGGACCATATTCAATCAAGTAAGCAGTGATTGTGCATTTAAACTGAAAAAAGGAAAACCACGTAAGAAACATGATCTGCCTTGTAGATAAATACAATGTCATTTCAGACTTCTTGGCAAAGCATTGCTTTCTCCCCTTTGCCGATTGATCCTTTAATTTTCTTTGTCTAGTTTTGTTGCTTTTGCAGCTGGATTAACTCTCAGTCTCAAACAGTGTCCGACTCGTTAACTTACCCCATGTTCATTGAGATCAGTTGATCATTCAGGTAATTAGTTGCTGGTGGTATTCCTAGAGAGAATTATGCAATTACAAAGATCAAGTGCTTGTTAATTAAGGGTGAGATTGACTTTCAAAAAGATCAATTCCTGGAAATTGTTTAGCATTCAACATGAGATTGCATTTCAAAAAGTTGTGTATGCTTAGTCAAAGTTAGTTTTTGTCTCGGTGTACAACAGTTTGGACTAAGTCGATTTTGCATTACAGGTGATGGTTTTGGTTATGCCTTGCATAAATTAAACTTTCAGTATGCAGAAAGGTGGAGTTGGTGAGAAAATGCTAAAGTTCCTTTTCAGAGTGGTCCGGTTCTTGAGAAAATGTATATTTTCTGTTCTATCTGTTGGTCCAGTCCCTGCCCACATTGCCTTCATCATGGATGGAAATCGCAGATATGCAAGGCAGCATAACCTGAAAGAGGGGGCTGGCCATGATGCCGGGTTTTTGGCTCTCATGTCGATCGTTATTTACGCCTGTGAACTGGGTATAAAATATGTCACAGTCTACGCCTTCAGCATCGATAATTTCAGGCGTAGGCCTGAAGAAGTTGAATGCATCATGAATTTAATGCTGGAGAAGATTGAACTAATGTGTCGAAAAGACAGCATAGTGAACCGCCACGGAGTCAGAATTCATTTCTCAGGGAACCTGGAACTCTTAAGAGAACCTATGAGGGATGCAGCAAAGAAATTAATGGCGGTTACTGCCAATAATTCTAATGCTTTGCTTACGCTTTGTGTGGCCTACACTTCCACCAATGAAATCATTCAAGCTATTCAGAAATCCTGTGAAGAAAAGTGGGTTGAAAATCAAGAACCCAGACGTGTAGGCCGTGGTCCAATTAATTTGTTGGAAATTGAGAAGCAAATGGATATGGCTATCGCACCTGACCCTGACATTGTAGTCCGGACTTCAGGTGAAAATCGTCTAAGCAATTTTCTGCTATGGCAGAGCGCACGAAGCTATTTGTTCTCCACCTTGGCGCTTTGGCCTGATATTAGTTTCTGGCATTTGGTTTGGATAGTCCTGAATTTCCAGAGAAACCAATCTCGTGTGGAGAAGAAAAATAAGCAAGTATAAAGCTTGTACCACCTTTACAATTGCTATATTTCATGATTATATTGACACTTAAATGGAAGTTTGATTAAATGATTATTAATTTATAAATAGATTTTACAGTCTCAAGTCAAACAACGGACTCTCTTTTCCTTTTCTCCATAAATCATCAGTCCCCTTTTCTCACTGGACCTCTAAGTTCACAACTCAAAGTTGGATTTAGGTCTGGGTTGCAAACTCTTGATAATTTGGAATAAACACAAAATAAATCTCAAACTTACAGGCTTGAAAATGTTGTTACTATTTGAAAATATTTTTTAATATTTTTTTGTCAAACTAAACACAAAATCTGATACCCTCAATAATATTGGGTATGCTAATGGATTTAGGAAGATTAACTTTTTGTAAATAGATTACGTTTTAGCTTTGTCAAAGTCCCTCCACATCGCACTTGAATATGTAGTTTATTAATTGATGTATGATTTTTATATTTAAAAGCAAAGATCGAATTTCCTTTCTCTTAATTTCAAAAAAAAAAAACAAAATACCTCCTCCACGTCCAGACTAATTCATCTATATATACCATATAGTTAAAATTGCAACTAATTAGATTAAAGTTTAAAATATAATTTGTGGCGTTCGTGGTTATAGGTAGCAGTTAGCACATAGTATTTGCTTAAGTAGTATAGGGTGGATGTTAAAGAGTAAAAATTAAGACTGGTGCTAAGGTAGTTACAGCGATTCCTGGAACAAACAAAATTTCGTGCCACTTCAGTGTCACGCTTCCAACATGCTCGAGAAATGCTGCAAAATTGACCAATGGATCGGTTGTCTTGGCGCGTAACTGATTCGAGCATGACAAAGACATGGTGCCTTAAATATCTGAGTCTGCAACTCTGCATCTCATCTGCCACTGTGCGGAGAACAGTTTGATATGGAGAAAGAAGTTATTCCAAGAAAAATCTTGTCTGGATGGATAAGTTTCGTTAGAAAATGTTTCTTTCGAGTTCTTAGAGTTGGTCCAATCCCCTCTCATATTGCTGTCATTATGGATGGGAACCGAAGATATGCCAAAAAGAAGAAGCTAGAAGAAGGGGTAGGTCATGATGCAGGGGCTTTTGCTCTCTTGTGCTTGCTTATTTATTGCTACGAGCTTGGCGTGAAACATCTGTCTGCTTATGCCTTCAGCATCGATAATTTCAAACGAAAGCCAGAGGACGTTAAAAAAATTATGGATTTGTTGAGGGAATGTATTCCTCTCTTGACTAGGATAGTGAAGCATCGTCCAATCAGAGTTCATTTTGCAGGAAGCTTAGAACTGTTGAGTGCAGATATTAGAATTCCAGCCAAGAGACTTATGGAAGCTACTGCTGATAACTCTAAATTTATCTTCACACTTTGTGTTGTCTACACTTCCACCGATGAGATCATGCATGTGGTTCAAGAATCTTGTAAAGAAAAATGCGATCATATTCCAGAAATCAGGGCAAATGATGCTAGCAACGGTTTACTGGGTGAGAATGGAGATAGTCATCAGGGTGATCAAGACCTTATAAAGTTAGTAGATATTGAAAAGCACATGTATATGGCCATTACACCAGATCCTGACATTTTGATCCGCACAGGGGACGAGCACCGCCTAAGCAACTTCCTTCTATGGCAGACTTCTTGCTGCCAGTTGTCTTCCTTGGTCACACTTTGGCCGGAGATTGGCATCTGGCAACTGGTGTGGGTGGTCTTGAATTTTCAGCGAAACCACCATTATTATGGGAGGAAAAGAAATGCAGCTGTAGACCTTGTAAATGGTTCATACTCTTCGTCCTCTCCACCTAGTCAATCATAGTATGTCGTTATTATTCTGGTCAGCGAGTTCTTTCTTGTGTCAGAGTTGATACTCTTGTCCCACAATAACATGTTACATACAACTGCAATAAACAAGAGACTATGCAGTATGCACTGTCAGTAGGATACAATCCACGCAAAGGGCACTTTTCTTTTTCATTCCTAGAAGAGGCACATGTTTTGTTTGCTGCAATTACAAGCGATGAGATTATTCCAACGCGAATTTGCCAATATGAAATCTCCACGTTTACAAGCAGGGTTATCCTGGACAAATTGTCAGGTCATGCTTACAAATATCACGCTTAAGGTTCTCTAGGATTTCTCCTCAGATCAGCCAATTGTCTCTAATCAAGCCACATGCATCAGTGGTCTTACGTCTTCTAAATAAAAATCACTTGGTACATGAAGGTGCTATAAAAGTTCCAAGTACAAATTACCATATGAAGTCACTCAATCTGAGACTTGCCAATTCATATCTCTGTTTCTCATCGGTACTCTAAGAAATAAGCACAGCAGTAGTAGTTTTATACTAATTGCATCCTTAAATGGAAATTACCCAAAACATTCGTATCAACGTTTTCATCACTTAACAGGGAAGTTACATCGGCCAAAAGCTTTATAATAATAGAAGGTAATTTTTATAAGCTATAATGCACGACTTGGTTTACAGTACAAGTTGAACCATAATATATATATATATATATAGTAACTTGCTTGAGTAAGATGCAAATTTGGGCAACTTCTTAGCCTTTATGGGCATGTAATAATTTAGAAATCGATGTGTGAGGCCTCAAAAATATAAAGGAATGGTGCATCTGAAGTCACAAGTTAAGACATCTATTACACTATATTGATAGTTATAAAATTAATTATTTTAGATATCAAATTTATTTAATTTTAGTGGTTTTCATGAAGATACATTTTGTTACTCACATGTATTCATATGTTGATACTTTAAATTTTAATTAATCAAGAATTAATTAAAACAATTTACAATTAAACATATATTTTCATTTTTATAATTATGATATCCATGTAATTAAATTATCCACATGTAAGACATATGTAGTAAAAATAAAAGGCACTAGTGCTATCTGGGCTAACAACTAAAGTCCAAGTAAGGATAGATTGTTGTCAATGAGATCCAAGAGTTTTGTTTATGTTTATAGTGGTACCCATTATCCCATGTTTGGGACAGAAATTGTTTTCTCTTTTAGCAATTCTCAGAAAAACAAAAGTGGGGGTAGTTAAAAAAAAATGAAGAGAGGTTTTCCCTCAACTTTAAATTGACAAGGTAGGTAGAGCAATTCCTGGAACAAACAAAATTGCATGCCACTTCAGTGTTTGTGAAAAGTTGTCACGCATCCAACATGACCACCGGATCGGCTCTCTTGGCGCGTTACCGATAAAAAGCATGACAATGAAATGGTGCCTTAAGTATTTCACTCTGCAACTCTGTATCTCATCTGTCACTTTAAGTAGAACAATTTGATATGGAGAAAGAATTTATTGAAAGAAAAATCTTGTCCGGATGGATAAGTTTCTTTAGAAAATGTGTCTTTCGAGTTCTTAGAGTAGGTCCAATCCCGTCTCACATTGCAATCATTATGGATGGAAACCGAAGATATGCTAAAACCAAGAAGCTCGATGAAGGGGCAGGTTATGATGTAGGGACTTTGGCTCTCTTGTACATGCTCGTTTACTGCTACGAGCTCGGTGTGAAACATCTTACTGTTTATGCCTTCAGCATCGATAATTTCAAAAGAAAGCCAGAGGAAGTTGAAAAAATTATGGATTTGCTGAGGGGTAGTATTCCACTCTTGACTAGGATAGTGAAATGTTGTCCACTGAGAGTTCATTTCGCAGGAAACCTACAACTCTTGGGGGCAGATATTAGAATTCCAGCCGAGAGACTTATGGAATCTACTGCTGATAACTCTAAATTTGTCTTCACGATTTGCGTTGCCTACAATTGCACTGACGAGATCTTGCATGCTGTTCGAGAATCATGCAGGGAAAAATGTGATCATATTCAAGAAATCAGGGGAATTGGTGCTAGCAACGGTTTACTAGGTAAGAACGGAGATATTCATCAGGGTGATCAAGACCTCATAAAGTTAGAAGATATTGAAAAGCACATGTATATGGGCATTGCACCAGATCCTGACATTTTGATCCGCACAGCGGGGGAGTACCGCCTAAGCAATTTCCTTCTGTGGCAGACTTCTTGCAGCCAGTTGTCTTCCTTGTTCACACTTTGGCCCAAGTTTGGCATCTGGCATCTGGTGTGGGTGGTCTTGCATTTTCAGCGAAACCACCCTTATTTTGGGAAGAAAAAAAAGGCAGCTGTAGACCTTGCAAATGGTTCATACTTTTCGTCCTTTCCACCTAGTAAATCATAGTTTAGTCGCTATTATTCTGGTCAGCGAGTTCTTTCTTGTATTAGAGTTAACACTCTTGTCCCGCAATAACATATTATATGCAACTGCAATAAACAAGAGACAATGCACTGTCAATAGCATACAAGCCACGCAAAGGGCATTTTTCTTTTACATTCCTAGATGAGGCACATGTTTTGTTTGCTGCAATTACAAGCTCCTTTTGCTCCGGACTAAGATTATTTCAACGCGAATTTGTGAATCTGAATTCTCCATATGTACAAGCAGGGGTATCCTAGACAAATTTCAGTCGTACTCGCAAATATTAGGCTTAAGTTTCTGTAGGATTTCTCCTGAGATCACCAGTTTTCTCTAATCAAAAGCTATGCATCACTAGTCTTACTTTCTAAATAAAAATCACCAAGCATGAAGGTGCTATAAAAGTTCAAGTACAAATTACCAGGTGAAGTCACTCTGAAACTCGCAAATTCCTAAAGCACAACTCGGTTTACAGCACAAGTTCAACCATATTATATTGTATATAGTTTGTAGTAACTTGCTTGAGTAGGATGCAAATTTGGGCAACTTGTTGACCTTCATAGGCATGCAATTATTTAGAAATCAATGCGTGAGGAGGCCTTGAAACTATCAAGGGAATGGTGTATCTCCAAGGAAATGGACTAACTTAGCAGCAAGTATTTTGCATCAGAATTGCTTTCTTTATCAAATACAACAAAAGGATAGTGCTTTGTGTTGAGATAAAAACTAGCTTGAGTGTTATTTTGTTTAAATATGTAATGGACAAGTGTCCACTTTGTTTTGTTGTACCGGTTTGATAAGTTAGATTGCTTGCTGCTGCTACATGTACTTAGAACGTTTAAGCATTGCATGCTTACCTTAATGGTATGTTAGACACTTGGATATGTTTTGTACAAGTGTTAGTCAAACAACTCATGTATATATTTATGCATTTCTTCCTTCAGGCAATATAATCGATATTAACCAAGTTCTCTGTTTTTTTTCTCTATTGCTCCTTTACTTTCTTTCTCTGCATGTTTGATACTTTCTGTTATGAATTTGTAAGAACACTTTGTTCCAACCGAGTGCGATCATAATAGTTTTGTATATATCGAGCGATGACCCTGCATACGGAGAAAGGTGGAATAAGTAGATCAGCAAGACGGTTCCTCTGGAAACTGAGCTACTTACAACGAAAATGCATATTCTCTGTTCTTTCTGTTGGCAGATTCCCTACTCACATTGCCTTCATAATGGATGGAAATAGAAGATATGGAAAGCAGCGAAACCTTAAAGGGGGGGCAGGACACAAAGCTGGGTATTTGGCCCTCATGCTCATGGTTATTTACTGCTGTGAACTGGGGATAAAATATATAACAGCCTACGCCTTCAGCATCGATAATTTCAAGCGTGGGCCTGAAGAAGTTCAATATATCATGGATCTGATGCTGGAGAAGATCGAGCTAGAATTAAGTAAAGAAGATAGCTTATTTAGCCGCTATGGAGTCAGGGTTCATTTCTCAGGGAACATGGAACTCTTAAGCGACCCCATTAAGGATGCAGCCAAGAGACTGATGGTGGCTACCGCCAACAACTCTAACATTTTGCTCACAGTCTGCCTTGCCTACACTTCCATGAATGAAATCCTACATGCTATTCAAGAAACTTATCAGGAAAAGCTGGCACAGATTCAACTTCAGGAGTCGATTTCAGAAGGGAGGATCAGCATGTGTAATCCGGAGCAGGGCGACCACGTTTTAAAGTTAGCAGAGATTGAGAAGCACATGTACATGGCAATTGCACCTGATCCTGACATTATAATTCGTACTTCCGGTGAAAATCGGCTGAGTAATTTCCTGCTGTGGCAAAGTGCAAATAGCTGTTTGATTTCTTTCTCTCAGCTTTGGCCTGGGATTAGTTGTTGGCATCTGGTTTGGGCGGTTTTGAACTTCCAGCGAAACCACTATTATTTGGAGAAGAAAAAAAAGAAGCAAATATGAATACGATCCTTACCGTTCGATGAAATTCCTCATGTTCTTTGCGTTTTCGTCTTTGGTGACTAAGCTTTTCCCTTCTCTTTGTGTTTTCTCAATAATGTGATCCCAGAGAAATTATTAAGAGTAATAAAATTGCAATTATTTTGCTTATAAGCTAAATAAATTGGTTTTCTTTTTCGTTTTCATGGGGACAATGAATTTTTTGTGGATATATACAAAGGTGTCATCTTCATAGTCATAGTTAATCTTTGATATAATACTTGAAAAAATCTTTTGATTTATTTAGTAAAATTCAAATAAAATTTTATTATTTTATTATATTTAATTAAATTTTTATATTTTTATTTTAAATCAAATAAATTTATATACTTAAAAGTCGATTACGATCAACTTATTGTTGTTAGTTAAAAAATAACTTGCAATTAAATGATGACGTGACAAATATGATATAATGATCAAATCACGTTATATTTTTTGTTTTTTATATTATTACTACGTAACATAAAAATAACAAGTAACGTTTTGATTAATGATAGTTAATTGATCATTAATTATAAAAATTTATTTGATTTGAAATATAAAATAAAAATTTAATTGAACTCAATAAAAAAATAAAAATTATTTAAATATTTTTAAATAATTTAAGAATATTTTGAACTATTATATCTTAATATTTTGCATTATTTCTCTTTTGTGGGGTTGATTAAAAGCGTAGACTTAGAATAAGATGAAATAACAAGATTCCATAATTTAATAATCATAATTTACATTAGTTAATATTCTCTTCTGCACATAAATTAAATTATATGGATTAAAAATTGATATTTTGTAATACATGACTTGATTTTACTTGCATAAAATGTGCGTAGAGGCTAATTTTTCTTATAATTGTGTTATTTTAATGATTGTATTAATGGCACGACTGGTATGGGAGAATAGTTAAGCTATTCCCCTTATTCCTTTCTCAATATTTTTTTTGTTTGGTTAGAAGTACGGAACAATAGCTATTCTCCAAAATCTTGGTTTAGCCATTTCCCTCCTCTCCATGTTAATGACTATTCCATGACTACGAAGTAGAGTACAAATTTAGTGGACAAAAATGTCTCTATTTATTGAAAATAATTACAATTTACAACTAGAAAATAAAAATAAAGAAAAAGAAAAAGTAAAAAAAATTAAAATACAAAAATATATTAACAATTTAATAATAAATTAGTAGTGTTTAAATTTTTAATGAAAACAGAAATTAAAAAATTAAATACAAATAGGGAAAAAATAAAAAGAAATTTAAATAAAAATCATTGTAATAATTTAATAATAAATTATTAATATTTTAAAATGTTAGTAAAAATAAAATTAAAAGATTAAAAAAGAAAAAATATTATTAAATTAAAATAATGATTAATTTTACTTAATTTATTAAATTATAATAAAAAGTAATTTTATCATTTATTCCTTAATTATTTCAAAACTATTTTTATCAATCAAATATCAAAATGAGTTATAATAACAATTCTTACCTTATTTAATTCTATAAACCTAACAACATAATACTTATTTAATTTTATTCTTTCCCTATTCTATTTTCATAAAATAATTATTTTATTTCATTCTATGAACAAAAGTATTGTAAGCGATTTGAAATTTAAAAAGAAAAGATAAAAATAATGATAATACAGCATAAATAAGAATATTAATTAAAAAGATAAAATATTTAATGTATCTCACTTGGATTACTCAACAATATTATAAACTTATCATATCTTATCATAATAATATCCTCATTTAGGTAAAACATTTTTTAATCCATTAAAGTCATCTGTGGTGGACGGTGCTATAACTTACTCTCTTGTTATTTTCCAAGTGGAGCCATGAAAATTTGAAGCACCAACACAACATGTCAATTTCAAATCCTAAATTTAACATGTTTTGACTAATAACATTTTGCTAAGATTATGCTAGTACTATTGCGATATATATTTTTTATGTGATATTAATTCGGCTTTTACTCTTTATTTTAATAGAAAAAAAAATCCCTTTCACTATCGGCAAAAATAAAAGAAAAAGGAAAAATTAGAAAGTGTCAAAACCGTCGGAGAACTGATTTTAGTTGAGTCGCGCTGGCTTCGTGAGCTTCCTGGCGCACTTTAGAGAAACGCGTAGTTGAAGAAGACGACGAGTCGTCGACAAAGACAAATAAAAAGAAAGGAGAAAAAAAAGGGAAAAAGGACGGTAAAATAAAGCGATCGTGATTGATGACATATGTAAGTCTCGTTCGTCACACTCTTACTGGACTTTGAGCAAAATCCAAAATCAAATCTCTCTTCCCTATAGATGGAAGCAGGTTCGAGGAGTTTCTGGAGCTTCGATCCCGTTCTAGTCGGCTGTTTCGTATTCGTACGCACTCTGACATCTCTCCCTCTCTCTATCACTCTCAAAACTCCTCACTTCTCTCAACCTGCTTAATTTGGATTTAAATCAGTTGTTTTGTCCTTTTTAGGGTTTTAATGGTTCGATTGTAAATGTTTTAGATCTTTATGTAATTTGATTAAGTTAATATCCGAATCAATCGTAATATTATAATAAAATGAAAAATGCGAACATTTATTAGATAATTATTTCCTCGCTCTGTTCTTTTTCTATGCCGTTTTTTAGTTAATTATTGTTAAGAATGTAAATTGACAACGGTAATGCCTGGTATATATTCTGTCAGGTTATTTTCAGTATTGTTAATGCTGATGCAGACATATCAGATAACAAAACACTGTAAGATCATTTCTAAGAAGTTTTATTTTTGGAGATTCTTTCTTCCTAAATTTAATTGATCTTTGATTGTTTGTTTAATGTTATGTCTTTCAGTGGAAGGGGACTCAAAGCATATCAGCCGCCGTATGACAGAAAGGTTCCTTCATAATATTTATACCATTGAATCATGTTGTAGTTTTGATTTATCGAAATTTGGCGGTTTTCCATAACTAATTATCGTCTGCCATAACTTTGCCTGCATTTTCATGAGTTCTTACATTGAAAATTTTGTTTTCTTAAATACATTGCACAACCTAACCGTTGGTCGGAATGTTGACTGAGCAGGAAGAGGATGCTTCCTCTGGTGCTCTAATTCTCAATGACAGTGAGAAGGTAATGAGTGGAGCTTTTTCCTCTTAACTACTGATTCTAATGATGCTCATATATATTTGTTTCATACAGGATATTGACATAATTGCAACTTACAGTGATGCTTCTGGCACTGTTAGAACAAGTAGGGTGAAAATGAAGGACCTTTCTGCTTCATGGGTTCTGGAAAACCCTAGTAATGGAGATCCTGACAACCTTAAGGGCCCACAGGTACTTCCATTTTATTTTGCAAAACTGGTTTTAGTAATTCGTGGTCCTATACTCAAAATTAAGTTTTCAATGCTTATTCATGGTGGTCAAATTCATAACAGCTACTATAGGTAAAATAAGGTTATGATCTAAGCACCGTCCTATAATCAACTTGAACAGTTTCAACAGTTATGTGGGCTATATGGCCAGGAAAAAGAAAGTTATATCATCTGCCCTAATTTATTTACTGCTTCCTAGTTCAAGTTGTTGACATCGCTGATTGAAAAATTATCTCTTAGGTACTTAAACTGAAAGATTCATATCAACCTAGCAAAACATTTGAAGGAAATGTTGAACATTTTATAGATGATCATCAGTTGGAAGAAGGTGAAATTCAAAATCTTCAGAGGGCATCATGGAGCCCTGTGAAGTACAAGCGTCAGGTAAAATGTCTGACACTACTGTGTATTTACTTTATGCATCCTGCATGGTTGGTCTAGATTTGTCATAGTATTTATACTCTTCAGATATTGCGGCAAAAAAGGAGGGATTTCCGTACTGCAGAACTCATCCGTCAAGTTAAAGAGTCTGACAAGCAGATGCAAGCAACAGCAGCAATTGAGAGCTTGACAAATATGGACACTGTTGGCAAGGGAAAATACAGCCTATGGAGAAAAGATTTTGAAAATCCTAATTCTGATTCTACCTTGAAGCTTATGCGTGACCAGATTATTATGGCGAAAGCATATGCAAACATTGCCAAGTCTAAGAACCAAAATGCCCTTTACAATTCTCTTTTGAAACATGTCAGGGAAAGTCTACTTGTTATTGAAGAAGCAAATTCTGATGCTGAGCTTCATTCAAGGTATAATTACTTTATGTCCACTGTTTTCTGGTTATCAGGTATATGTATTTCTGGTTTTCATTCAAAAGTATGTTGTTCTATTTGCAGTGCACTTGATCATGCAAAAGCAATGGGCCATGCTCTGTCTATAGCAAAGGATCAACTCTATGATTGTCACACAGTTGCAAGAAAGCTTCGAGCCATGCTTCAGTCAACAGAAGATAATGTAGGTTCACTGAAGAAAAGGAGTGCCTTCTTGATTCAGCTAGCTGCTAAAACTGTCCCAAAACCATTGCATTGCCTACCTCTGCAGCTAGCAGCAGACTACTTCATTAATGGATATCAAAACAAAAAGGATCTTAATAAAGAAAAGCTTGAAGATCCTTCTCTATACCATTATGCCATCTTTTCTGATAACGTACTGGCAACATCTGTGGTTGTCAATTCTACAGTGCTGCATGCAAATGAGCCTGAGAAACATGTTTTCCATATAGTCACTGATAAACTGAATTTTGCTGCAATGAAAATGTGGTTTATCTTGAATGCACCTGAAAAAGCAATAATCCAGGTTGAGAACATCGATGATTTCAAGTGGCTGAATTCCTCTTACTGTTCTGTTCTTCGTCAACTCGAATCTTCCAGAGTTAAAGAATATTATTTCAAGGCAAATCACCCATCCTCTCTCTCTGTTGGGTCTGACCATCTCAAATACAGGAATCCGAAATATTTATCGATGCTGAATCATCTTAGATTCTACCTTCCTGAAGTGTACCCAAAACTCCACAAGATTCTATTTTTGGATGATGATATTGTAGTTCAGAAGGATTTGACACCTCTTTGGGATGTAGATCTGCAAGGAATGGTGAATGGTGCAGTGGAGACCTGTAAAGAGAGCTTTCATAGATTTGACAAGTATCTCAACTTCTCCAATCCAAAAATCTCAGAGAATTTTGACTCAAATGCTTGTGGTTGGGCATTTGGGATGAATATTTTTGATTTGAAGGAATGGAGAAAGCAAAACATAACAGGAATATATCATCGATGGCAAGATATGGTAATGCTTCAGTACTGCTTTTCCAACGTTTCAATTTTCTAACAAGTTTCTGTTTTCCTTCTAATGCAAAATTATATTTTTTTTCTCCACAGAGAAAAATTTTTCTCCTATGTCTGTCATATTAGCATAACTTAAAAGGCATTTTGATTGTTATGTACTATGAGTTTCTAAACTTCTTTTTGTCAGTAGTTTCCTGAATATTGCGACTGATGAAGAAACTGCTTTGCAGAATGAGGATAGAACTCTTTGGAAGCTGGGCACATTGCCGCCAGGACTGATCACATTCTATAACTTGACTTATCCACTGGATCGAAAATGGCATGTCTTAGGACTTGGGTATGACCCAGCCCTCAACCAAACTGAGATAGAAAATGCAGCTGTCATCCATTACAATGGAAACTATAAGCCATGGTTGGATCTGGCTATCGCCAAGTACAAGTCATACTGGTCTAAATATGTAAAGGTCGATAACTATTACTTTCGACTCTGCCACATTAGTGAATAATAGTTGACCAATTTTTTTTTTCCTTCTTGCTTTCACTTATTCACACATGTAATTCTTTTATTACAGTAAAGAGAAGAAAAGGGAAAATTTTTTATGGTTCTTTGTTGCTTTGGTAGGAATATCATCATCTTCTTTATTCTTTTTTCTATGCAATAAGGTTTTCGTCCTAACATTCATTTAATTAGCTAGATATGCATTTTTCTTTTTGTTCAATTTTCACTAATGCCTCGAGCTCTACTGACTGGGAAACAATTCAAAATGAGCCGTAACTCAACTTCATAATATAATATGAGAAACGAGAAAATTTGAGGAAAGCCAGGTCTGCAGGGTTCAGTTGTTTCAGAAGCAGTTTAACAGGTTGGGTGATGTTGAGCTTTTCAATTACTATTATGTATTTTGATTCGCCATGCGCTTTCCAGCAAACCTCTGGGGTTCAAAGCTCCCAAGCTGGAGTTTGAGAATCAAAGAATCATACCGCGTTGGAAAATGGCTAGAGGTGTTTTCTCACTATCAGGAGATGAAGAGATATGGAGTTCATCCATCAGATCCTTCAGTGTTCCCTCCCATTCTCAAAGCGTGTCTGAACCTCTCCCCTACACATGGGAAATCAGTCCATGCATATTTGATCAAACAAGGTTATCAATCATTTGCTTCCACTGGGAACTCCATTGTGGACTTTTACATGAAATGTGGGGACTTGGAATCAGCATTGGGTGCTTTTGATTGCATGCAGAATAGGGATTCAGTGTCTTGGAATATTATTATTTATGGGCACCTTGATCAGGGTGTTCTAAAAGAAGGTTTAAGGTGGTTTAATAAGGCTAGGGTTGCTGCGTTTGCACCGAATGCTTCCACATTGGTTCTTGTAATTCAGGCATGCCGCAGTATTGGAGCTTACCATGAAGGATTAGAAATTCATGGATACATGATTAGGAGTGGATTATGTGCCATTGATTCTGTTCAGAACTCCTTGTTGAGCATGTATATGGTTACAGACTTAATGTGCGCGCGAATCCTGTTTGATGAAATGTGTAATAAAGATGTGATCTCTTGGAGTGTGATGATTGAGGGTTATGTGCAAAGTGAGGAGGCAGAAATTGGCTTGAAGTTGTTCCGGGAAATGGCGTCTGAGGATGGGATCCAACCAGATGGTGTAACCACAGCAAGTGTTCTGAAGGCCTGCGCAAGATTAGAAGACATTCATATGGGAAAGTTGGTCCATGGAGTAGTGATCAGAAGAGGAGACAATAATGATTTGTTTATAGGGAATTCCTTAATTGATATGTATTCAAAGTGCAAGGATGTTGATTCTGCCTTTCAAGTTTACAAGGAGATGTCTCAAAAGAACATTGTTTCATGGAATTCTATCGTATCTGGATTTGTCCTCAATGAGAAGTATTCAGAAGCTTTATTGCTGTTTAAATTGATGGGGAAGGAAGGAGTTGAGGTAGATGAGGTGACTCTCATGAATTTTCTTCAAATATGCAAATATTTTGTGTACCCATCTCAGTGCAAGTCTGTTCACTGTATAATAATCAGACGGAAGTATGAATCGAATGAATTAGTCATAAATTCTTTAATTGACGCTTATGCGAAGTGCAATCTTGTTGATCATGCATGGAAACTTTTCGATGGCCTGAAGGAAAGGGATGTGGTGTCATGGAGCACTATGGTAGCTGGATTAGCTCACTGTGGCAAGCCTGATGAGGCAGTTGGAGTTTTCTGCGAGATGAGCAAAACACTGGAGAAGCCCACTGGCATTACCATCATAAATCTTCTTGAAGCGTGTTCTCTTTCTGCTGAACTGAGAAGGTCAAAATGGGCCCATGGAGTTGCAATCAGAAGAGGCTTTGCAGCCGAGGTAGCTGTTGCAACTGCAATTGTTGATATGTATGCAAAATGTGGTGCCATTGATACCTCCAGAAAGGTCTTCGATGGAATGCCACAGAGAAATGTCTTGTCATGGAGTGCCATGGTAGCAGCGTATGGTATGAATGGTCTTCCCAGAGAGGCATTGGCATTGCTCCCAGAAATGAAATTGCAGGGTCTGAAGCCAAACTCTGTGACTACTCTCTCAGCACTATCTGCATGTAGTCATGGAGGGTTAATTGAAGGCGGCCTTTCTTTTTTAAAATCAATGGTCCATGAATATGGGATAGTGCCCGGGTTGGAACATTATTCGTGTGTGATTGACATGTTGGGTCGCGCAGGCAAGCTTGACAGTGCGGTGGAATTGATTGACCAGATCCCCGATGGTCTTAAGGCTGGTGCAAGTGCTTGGGGAGCTATTTTGAGTGCCTGTAGAAGCCATGGAAACAGTGAGCTTGGTGCAGGAGCTCTCTCTCATGTTCTTGAGCTGGAGCCTATGAACTCAGCAGGATATTTGCTTGGATCAAGCATGTATGCTGCGGAAGGTTTATGGGGAAGCGCAACGAGAATGAGACGGTTGGTGAAAGAGAGAGGGCTGAGGGTCTCCGCTGGCTACAGCTTGGTTCACGTTGGCAACCGAGCTTGGAGATTTCTTGCAGGGGATTGCTCCAACCTCCGCGCTCCAGAGATAGACATCATGGTTAAGCAGCTGCATAGTTGCATGAATATTGACGAAAGGATTCACTCGGGAGTCGTTGAATGCTGAGGTGTATTTTCGTCTCCTTGTGAGCAAGATCTTTGATCGAATGAGCTAGTTCAAGATTGACAGCAATTGATGTTCGATTCAATCAGTAAGTACACCTGTTAATGCTGCTGAACCAAGAATTCATGCTAGTGCACATTTGTAGTGATGCCTATGAAGAAAATGAACATAAATTTGATTATTACTTGACTAAAAGAAATCATGGACGCACCCAAATGCAATTTGAAAGGTTGTAATGTACATATGATTAAAAATTGAGCAAGAGGTGAAAAGTGAAAAAAAAAAGTTGAATAAAAACATGATTTATTTTTATTTTTCTTATTTTTCCTTTATCTTTTATTTTCCTCCTTTATTTTTTTTTCTTTTAGAATAAGTTGTTAAAAAATGAAAAGATTAATTTATTCAATCAATTTGTATTTTTATTTAACTTTTTAATATTTAGAACTCATGTATACAATAACATATAAAAAAATTTTGTCAAGCTGAAGCGGGCGTTCACTAATATTAGAGTAGAAAAAGCGTGCAACAAAGTAAAAACAATCTTTTCTTGTGGACTTTGAAATTCCCACACGTCAAAACCCTAAAATTTCCTCAAAAGCTCATCCCCACAATTTCATTTCAATGCGAACCGTAACTGTAAAACCCTAATTCCCCCTTCTGTCACAATCTGAGCGGAATCATTATGGCACCCGGTCTCAGAACGACTTCCGGCGCCCCTCCCTCTTCCCGCAAGCGCCACCTCTCCGATTGCGCTAAGCCCAAAACTCCAACGCCGTTGGATCTCTCTTCCCCTAAAAAGACCCGGGACCTCCCCAACTTGACAGAATGCCAAGCCTGCGGATCCCGAACCGACACCGCCAACGGCAAGAACCGAATTCAAACGCTTTACAGCGAGTGGCGCATTGTTCTCCTCTGCTCTAGATGTTCTCATCGCGTTGACTCATCCGAAATCTGCTCTTATTGTTTTAAAGAAGCCTCCGAAGATTGCTTTTCTTGTGGCCAATGTAAGCGTTCCCTTCACAAAACTTGTTTTTTAGATTACAAATCTGTTCCGCCGTGGTCCTTCTCTATTTGCGGTTCGGAATTTACGGTTTGCATCGATTGTTGGGTCCCCAAACAGATTGCTCGTAAAAGGGGTAATTTCAGGCGCAATAAAAAAGCCAGGAATTCTAGCATTTTGGATAATAGGGACGGTGGGGGGGCTAAATTGTTGGAATCTGTAGTGAAAGATGCGAATTGTGCGATGGGGAAGAAGGTTGAGGCAGCAGTTAAGGCTAGGGAGATGGCGGTTAAGAAAGCCATTGTGGCCAAGCGGGCTGTGGAATTGGCGAGTAATGCATTGGAAGAGTGTGATGATGCTGAATTGGCGTTTCGGTTGCATAGGGCAATGAATAGTTCGCCTAGGATTTCAAAGAATAGAATATTGGGTGATCAAAATGGTTTGGAGCCATTGATTGCTGGTAATAGGGCTTTCAGTGGCTTGAAACCAACTGAGATAGTTTATGCACGGCGTAGTAAGAATCCAACTCAGATAGTTTATGCTTGCTGTAGAAATGAACCAACTGAGAAGGTTTATCTAGGGCGCAGAAAGAAACCAACTAAGTTAGTTTATAAACGGCGCAGAAAGCACAGCGAATGCAAGGAAGAGTGTGGTGTTGAAATAGGAATGAAGGAGAGAGAGGAGAACTGTTCTAGTTTGTTGTTGAACTCAAGCGGGTTTCATAGTGGCATGAAATCTGAGTCTAAACCTTGTAATTACCAAGATGACTGTACTGTCTTTAAAGATACACGGTCTGATGTGAAACTTGTTCATTATTTGTTAACATACAGTAGGAAGAAATCAAACCCAAAGGAAACTCCAAATGGCAAAATTAAGTCCCTATCTGAAGGATATAACCTTGAAAGTCAGATTACAGCTCCTCAACTGCCAGAATCCCTAATGATCTCGACTTCTACACTCCAGCATTGTGATATTCCTCATCAAGCTGCAGCCGGTGCAAGTGACTCGTAGACTGAAGAAGGTAATGGAAAGTTCAGCCTTCTTATTTTACTTTTTATTAATTTTTTTTTGTTTTTCCAAATAGTCTCAGTTGTAATGGAAGTTTTTTATACAGTTGCCTGCCCTGTTTTCTGATTTTCCTTGGTTGTTATTCATTGCAGCATTCTTTTCCTTGGATTGGGTTGTGGATAATTTGTCTGGGATGCTTTGAGGATGCTCTGCAGAGTAGCTGGTGTATATAATTGCAAGCCAGTTGAGGAAAAAGTGCTGCCGAAGATAATCTTACAACTTTTGGAGGTTCCTGGTTGCAACTTAAAAAGTCTCATGGTCATGGGAATATCCACATATTGGATGGGTAAGTGCCTAATGTTTGTGTTGCCTTCCTGTGATTTTGGAGTTGTAATTGCCCCTAAACATGTCCAATAAGTGGCAGTTTCAAGAAAAAAAATTGATTTTTTCTAAATTATTGGCAAATAAAAGTGGGGACCCTCGTTTTAAGTGCGGATTTTGTATCAGGAAATATTCTGTATCATGAGCTCTTAACATTTGAATCCTCTATATCTTAGTGTTTGTGCCATCTTCTGAATGTTTTGCAGGGATATATTTAAATGAGGTCTGGATGAAAATGTTTTTGAATACAGTCATAGATGTTGGTGATAACCTATTTTAAATCATCAATACATTCAGCATAATATTGAGCAAAATATTTCTTCTTTTCATTTGGCAAAATATCCCCTTGTATTTATGATGTTATCTATGAAAGTTCATTGTTCTGTTTGCACAGTAGTTCTACTGATGATGATCCTTGGATTATTGACAAGCTAAATTGAAGCAATACCTCACATGGTGATAGCCATTTGAAGATGATTTACTCTTTGCAACAAAGCACTTGATTATAATCTGTCATGGACTATTGCCCCCTGAAGACTAATGGAATTGCTGCAAAATGGTGCGTATGCTTACTTTGTGAGCGCTATGGTAAAGAGCTTAAATGTGAAGGTAGCCCCCTTTTTTTGGTCTAATGGCTTTTCAAATTTTTCCATTTATGTAGTATTGTTCACCAGTGCTCAGTAAGAGACTTTTTTGTTGCAATGAATGTGATCTTGGTGACCAAGCACAAAGCATAAGGTTCAGTGTTGAAGGTGGTGACATCATGCAAAACTGCTAAATGGAAGGACTTGATCTAGATCATTTCTTGAGAATCTTGGTTAGGCAAGTTCCCTTTTTGGTTCATCTTGACTCATTTAACAGTTTTTGGTTAAATTTTAATGTTAGACAACACTTCACTTCTTATCAAATGAAGCTTTTTGGAAATTTTACTAGAGGATGTTTTAATATTGAGTGCATCATGTTTTTGTCTTAAGATTTGTTCCATTGCCTGTAATGATAATAAACATTTGTCCTAATGCGAAATTTGTTTTCAACATTTTCCATTTTCCAAATTTTATCTGTTTCATCAACTCTTGTAAAATGCTTGCCTGAGTTAAACATGTTAGCATTCAATGGATGTGGTCTGAATACAATCAAATAGAAAGCAATAATTTTTCCTTTTCACTTAATAACAGAGTATGCTGTCTTAGAATTAATGGAAAGCCCCTTGTTTTGCCAATACTTCTATTTGAGAGTATGATTCATTGAATTTCCTTTTTTTTTCACTTAACGTGTATCAACAAATGCCGCGTCCCAAGATGCACGAGATTGGGCATCCAGCTGTGCACAAAATTGAAGGTGTAGTTGCCCAAATATGCATGCAATTATCCAGCTGCAATAACATGTGTTTACATTTTTGTTCAGTTATATTTTGGTAGAGGGATTAGATTCAACATTTTGAGGATTAAATTTAAAATAGAACTGAATAAGAGGAGTGCTAGGCAGAACTTATAAGTGACAGGAGATGGAGCCTAGGCGCAACATAAGGTGAGGCTTGGTGTTGGTGAATCATTGCACTCAACCCCCGCCTCCCATGTTGCTTTGGTGTAGCCTCTGATGCCTTCCAATAAAAATAAAAAAAGACGACTCAACCTAATTTCCCCACTTGGGATTTTATTACTTCGAAAAAGAAAAAGGTTGAAAGTGGGGGAAGGTTTATTAACAGTGGTGGGCTCTAAGCCACCCCAGAAGACGAAGAAAGAGGGATAGAATGTGGGGTGGAAAAGTGTAAAATTTGGTTGTAAAGGTGAAGGAAGTTGAGCCTTGGTTCATTATTTTAGCCAAAAGAAGGATATGTGTAGACTGCACGCCATCACGACTGGGGCCGATGTTGGCAACTTTCGTGTGGAAGGCGCACTTCCCTAAAAACTAGTGTTTTATTCTTTATTAAGTATTATCTAATAATCAAATGGATGGTCACCAGGTCAGCAAATCCACCTCCGATTCCACTCGACCAGCCATCTTTACAAATAAATTCAACCCCTTTCCATACGTTTGAGCACTCCATTCAATTACATGCCAACCCCTCTTTTTCTAAGTTTATAATAATCGGAATGTCGCTTTACGTGCTCTTTCCTTGTTTTTCTTTCTTTTGGAAAATAAAAATAAAAAGAAGCAATAATTTAAAACCAAGTAGTCGTTTGAGTTTTGAAACCCACAAACAGACACTTACGACTGCACCAGCGATCACAGCTATGTTGAACATTTACCCAATATGTTGAAGGTCAGGAGTGTGTGTGCACAAATAGCTGAGGTTTGATACTGGACATCTGAACTTTAGCCAAGTAACAACTTTGTAGAAAAACAATTAGTGTGTATAAGCAGCTACTTTCCACATAATTTTGTAGCAATAATTCCACCAGTGACATTAATATTAGAAACTGCCAGTTGTAGAATCGCTTGCTTTCAACTAATCTTGGAATAGTTTCCAGCCAATATAAAGCATAAACCCAAGTCATAGCTTCTTTTTTATTTTTGTTTTTTTTTTCACTTGAATGGTTCCTTAGAGAATTCAATTTTTTTTTTCTTTTTGCTGCTAAATGCCACGCTTCCAAATTTGAAACCCCAAGTCTGTGATGGGATTGGAATGGAGAAAATGAAATGAAAACCTAATTATGTAATAAATGGCAAAAAAAGAAATGAAAAGTGATGTTGGTTGCCATATACATAAAATGTAATTTAGAGAGTAAAGAAAGAGTGTTCACGTTAGATTCCAAGCTCTTGCTCTCAAATTCACGGTGATGACTCTACTGGTAATGCAGAACTAGAAATTGACACTTGTAAGATATTGAAACTTGCTATACGTACATACATATATATATATATATATATATATGATATATGAGCATTTTTATTAAGACAGAGTACTAGCTAGACTGGTTTGCATTAATTGATTCAGGCTCTCACTGCTGAATCCAATTGGATGTTATGCAATGAAATGAACTAAAAGCATATTGGAATATACATACATTAATTAATTGTTAGGAGCGTGTGTCTTCCTCATTCCTTCATCTTTGCCCACCACAATTCATAATCAACCTACTTGGTCACTCACCATGCCAAAATCTTGCTCTATAAATTCTCTCGATGAGAGGCGTGTGTCCTCCACAAGTCTTCCTTTCTCATCCTATTTTCTTCCTTTGAGAATATTATTATTATTATTATTATTGTCCTTGTTTTTGTCCATCATGGCTGCCCCCCAAACTCGTCAACTTTCATCGCTTGACAAGGTTGAGATGTCTACACATGTAAACGACACTGAGAAGAACCAGGTTCAAGAACCTGCAGATAATGAGTTTGACTACTCTCAGAGAGGACAGTGGCTTCGTGCCGCCGTGTTGGGAGCCAACGATGGATTAGTTTCCGTTGCATCTCTAATGATGGGTGTTGGATCTGTTAAAGAAGACGTCAAAGCCATGATCGTTGCTGGTTTCGCAGGGTTGGTTGCTGGAGCCTGCAGCATGGCAATTGGAGAGTTTGTGTCTGTGTATACCCAAAGGGATGTAGAGATAGCTCAAATGAAACGAGAGAAGCAAAAGAGAGAGAGTGAAAATGTTGATGGTAATGATAAAGCGGGTGATCAGAAGGAGCAGCTGCCCAATCCAGGACTAGCTGCTGCAGCATCAGCCTTGGCCTTTTCAGTTGGTGCAGTGCTTCCGCTATTGGCAGCAGCCTTCATAAGGGACCATAAGGTAAGGATGGCGGTGGTGGTTGCGGTGGCTACCATGGCTTTGATGGTGTTTGGAGCGCTGGGTTCTTTGCTTGGGGGGACTCCGGTAGTGAAGTCCAGCGCCAGGGTGCTTGTTGGAGGATTGATGGCCATGGCTATTACTTTTGGGCTCACCAAGTTGATTGGCTCTGGTGGGATGCAAAGTTGAGTTGCTTCATCCTCAACTCTTCTTTCTTCTTTCTCCTTGCGTGTTCCACTGCCCAATGCAAATTGTTATACATGCAAGGGCTCGGTGTGGCTTAATCTCTTTTTCCTTTTCTTCGTCAAGAATTCAGTGTGTTTGGGACAAATTATGTAAAAACAATAAGATTTAGTTAAATGTAAAATATTAACTACAATAATTAAATTTGTGCAATGATAATATCAGCAGCCCAATTCTACTACAAATAACTAGTATAATAAATTATTTATATTCATGGTTTTCTCTTCCTTTCCTGTGGAAGGATTGAAAAAAGGAAGTGGCAATTGCTTTGTCATGAATTTATCACCATTAAAGCTCTTTTGTGTGAACTGTGAATATGTAAAATCTATTGTCAAAGTTAGTTGGTGACAATGGTGAAATGTAATTAAACAATTTTTTTTGGAGCCATGTGTTGCCATAATTTTTTTATGACCTTCAACCACTGGTAAAGGTAGAAAACTCGAGTCAAAATCCTTAAATAGAATCATCAAAAAATTTTATATTATTACATATTTTACGGATTAATAATTGATGTATTTTTATAGCATATATAAATTTTATACACAATCAATAGATCATATAATGCCACCTTCTTAACAAATGAAATTTAAAAACTGAAGAATCCTTAAAAGTAAATATTCATAAAAAAGTGTTTAATTGGGTAAAAGTAATTCTTAAATTTTGTTTCTTACACTTTCTTTGATTTTTATCAATTGGGGAAATTATAGGTATATATAGTTGGTCACATTTGCAAATTAATCATACAATTTTGATATCCTACCAAAAGTTTGAAACACCAATTTTGGTCTCTTGATGCATCAAGTTGATTAAACAATCTGAACCTCATGAAAAATTAACAACAAAAAAAGGAAAAGACTAAACACATCAAGGCCTATTGAATTTTAGAGACTGAAAAGCTTTTCAATGGCCATGCGTGTACCCTCCTTGGCTGTAAGGATATGTTTGTAGATTCGACATTCCAATATGTCCTTGCATTCCATTCCTTTTATATTGCTCCCACATTGAGCGTTCTTCCACCAACAACTTCTGCTTCTTCTCCATGTCTGACATTTGCACGTATGACGGTGGCGCCACCGCAAGCGACGCGGAGAACGGATCACCACCGTTTGTTCCCGTGTTCTTTCCATCGGATGATGGGGGAGCCGGTAATGCTAGCATTGCAGGTCTTCCGGCTGAGCCAAATGCAACGCTACTAGCACTGCCCGTTGCTGCATAACCTGATGAAACAATGGCTGCGATTGTTTGGCCCTGTTGGTACATGCCATCAAGCAATAACATGTCTAACCCACCTGCAAGAGTCGTTCGCTGGTTGTTTAAGTTGCTTGCTGATTGAACCAGGGCAGATTCCCAATCAGCTTCGTCCTTGAAAGCTTCCCATCCTGGACCTGACGGAGGACCGGAGGGTGCAGCACCATCAAACAAAGCCAACGCCAATTTGTCTGCGTGATCTTGACTTGAAATTGCGTCCTCTCCTAGGTTCAATAAGTCACCCTCTTGTTGCACTACAATAGCTTTCGAATTATCTTCTTCCTCTTCTTCCTTGTGTTCTTCCTCAACAGGGGCTTCACAGAAATCTTCGGGGGCTGGTAACGCCTTGATGGCATTCATGTCTTCTTCCATTGCTTCCGTTTCTTTAACTTCCTGCTGCGGTACCGGTTCATCCTTAACTTCATCCCGGATACTCTTGCCTTGTGCCAACACAGACTTGTCACGGATAAACTCATCAATGAGGTCAAGTTTTTTCTGCGTAATTTTCTCAATTTCCGGATAGTCAGAAGCGCGTGCAAGGCCTACACTCTTGCACCAGGAATAGAAATTCTCAATCTCATCAAACTGCTTCCCTACACGGGAAAAAATCTCATAGACTTTCACGGATTCAGAAACATCAAGCTCCATGAAACGGTCGATTAAAATTCCCAATATTTCTGTTATGTCGTAATATATCTGGAAACTTTCTTTCACTATTGGGTAAAGAGCCACGCTCACGACCCTGTTGCACTTTGCTGAACCTGTTCAAATCCAAGAGAGGCAAATTACTATAGGTACCATTTCATAAGAAAAGCAAACAACCTCATATCCTCAATGCAAATAATCTCCACCAAGAAGCTAGTAATACATTAATGCCTGATACTCAAACCTGTTGGTCGACAGGCTAAGAAGCGCTCGAGGAGCTGTTGCAAATGCTGCAACCTTGAAAATATTTGCTCAGTCTTCATCTCACGGACTGGTGTGGATCTGACAACGATTGCCTTATCGTTTTCTTCCTCTTCTTCATCATGAATATAGGCGCTACGTTTCCCACGCCGTCCTTGCATCTTGTATTCCAATCTCTCATCAAGGTACAGTGCATAGGTACGCACAAATGCAGAGTAATCCCAGGAGTTGGATTGTGAAGTATCACGGAAATCTGACATGTTGAGAATACGAGTCCCACGCCTCGTTGAAAAGAAAATCTCTTGTTCGTACGCTGGATCACCCTCGGCCAGAAGCCGCTGGATTAACATAAGGGTTTTCAGCGCCACTGTCCAATTTTTGGTCTTGTTGAGGCGTCTTGAGAGGGTGTTAACGCAGGCACTGATGTAAGCACGTGAATAGGAGGTTAAACTAAGTATTTCTCGAATGTGTCTCTCTTCAGCTGGGTATTCTTCGTGCCTTGTTGCCTTAACAATGGCAACATCGAGGTCGGAGAGTGAGGTACTGCCGCCAACTTTGGCCAGGCTTATGCTGGTCTGGTCCTTGACATGACCAAGGGCTCTTCTGATCTTGCTTGGAGCCATGGATTTTTAAGCTAATAATTAAATCACCCAAGTAGCTCGAACGGTAATAGCTTCTGCCTCTGTTTTTGAGCTTTAACAAGGGCGAATAAGTAAAACTGGTAAAATTTAATCAAAGTTTGTTATGATCAAAAAGTGAAATGTTATCCAGAGTCTCGATCAATGCTTGAGGGAAACTATGAAAATGAATGCTCAGAATCTTGGAAAACATAAGCAATGGAATCCCACCTGTTTCGCTAGCTTTTTGGCCTTAATTGGAAAAGAACGTCTCAGATATAGTCTGGGAAAAATGCAAGATGAGAGTAAAATTCCCAACAACAATCGTTAGAGAAGATTGTTGATGGGAGGGAAGGAAGGGAGAAGGCAAAAGACAATGAGGATATATTTTTCTCCTCTCCTCGTGTAAAGCCTTCCTCTTCCCTCTTTCACTGTCTTTTACCTGTTTTTTTTTTTATTATTTTTTTTATTTTTTTCTTTTGTTGTTGCCTAAATCAAAGGTTATGTATCCTTGCTCTCATTCAACCATGCATTGCCCTTTATTTCCCGTTACTTTCGCACGAACAAGAAAAGTTTCAACGGGAGACAAGAAGCCATATGGCAAATGCTAATTGGCTGTCCCCAAAAGAAAACTCGATTCAGTTGTGTCAAAGGAAATTCTGGGGCAGGTCAGGTTTGTTCAACCTTTGACCTTTTCAGAGTTGCATATGGACCGCTAAAAGGACTGCTTCACGTCGATAGACATCACAGTGTAGCAGTCGATAGACATATTTAATGAAATATACTTTATTTAATTGGATTAGATATTTGGCATCTTAAATACTACTTAAGAAATTTTTGTTCTTATTGTTCATGGAGACTTTGGTGGATGATCTCTGTTATGTGCCATGCATGAAAGTCATAATGTCTTCATTAAATAATTTTTCTTAATGGTATTTTCCACCGTCAGTTTCGCTAGTTCTTTTTAATTCGGAAATTTTTATTTATAAAATATGAATCAAATGTTGATGTATCTTTTATATTCAAAAGAATTATTTATTCATACATTAAGTAGAAATATATATGTATAATTTATTCATATATTCAAAATATGCATGTTCAGAAAGCAGCAAAAAGAATAAAATGCCTTTCCTCTTTTTCTTCTCTCTCGATGCTTATATTACTATGTATGTTTCTGATGTTCGTATTATAAGGTATTACCATTAAGTTCTTCAACGTGATAAAAAATCTTGGAACATTTCAATTTTTATAATCTGCCAGAAAGAATAAAGAAAATCCAGAGGGAAAGAAACCCTACCAGTTACTATATATTTCAAAGATTATGTGCGACTAAGGTCTGATCCACCATTTTTTACTTACAAATCCAGCAAGAAATTCACAATCAGCAAAGAAATAACATGTTCCAGCAGTTAAAAGTGTCGAGGAAAGTAGGGTTATTACAGATACATGCCAGTGGTCAGCAACTACATCCAGGCATTCAATCCCCCAAAACGCAGCTTTCCAAGTTTGGCAACTCTGATCCAGCTGGCTTCTTTGTGGAGATGCCCAGCGACATTCCAACAGAAACTAAAGTCTCAAGTGATCTTCCACTGTTTGCTAAGAGGTCATCATCTATCTTAATTGCATCCTGCAAATTAGAGCAGGCATCAAACAATCTATATAAGTATTCGCTGCTCATAATGAAATTCATAAGCATAAATGATGACAAGTAGACTGTCTCATACGCAACAGAAAGTCATAATAAAACAATCAGTACAAAGGATGTGAAATTGAGAACTGAATCCCATCTTTGAGACAATATTTGACGTCTCGAGTTTAGAACAGGTACATAAAATGAAAACTAGCATATCTAAAATAAGGAATCATGAACAAACTTAATAAATTCAATGCAGAATGGAAGTTTTGAGAAACATAAAATTATCTAAACTATTTATCCAGTGAGTAGTTAGAAAGAAGATGAATAGAATAAATTCAAGGTACTTGCCAAAACCCCACCCTTATGTCCCTTTCAATGTGGAGAAGAAAGAGAGTGAGAGAGAGATAGATAGATGATGAGAAACAATTTAAAGGGTCAAAAAAAAAAAAAAAGACTACCGAGGGATAATATAACATTGCCACTGACTTCCTTCATCATATAAAGGTGGTCAAAAACCAATAAAGCAACTGCAGTAGATGATACCAACCTTTTCAAAGACACAAATCACTGTGCTCCCACCAAATGAGAAATATCCAAACTGTGGATGGAACAAATAATTGTCAATTACAAGAATAACAGTATACTGTACCGCAAACATCTAAAAAATAGAATAAAACCATGGAGTGCTAACCTCATCTCCTTTTTTCACAACATCACCTTCCTTCTTCACAAAAGTTATGCTACCAACCATAGTTGCTCCAATTGCCACAAATGCCACCTGCAGAATGAAGGGAAGGGGTTAAAAACGTACTCTTGTCATTTGCAAGGAAACAAATTTTGCTTCTTTCATGCAAGCTATAAGAGGGCGACAATGAAATAGCCATCAAATGAAGGCAAGAGGTTGTGGTCCTAATAATATAGTGTATTATATGCCTCTATTCCATGCAGAGCGTTGAGCCACATCAGAATTTTAAAAAAGTATAAACAAAAATTTCAAAGTCAAGTAAAGCAAAGAGACAAACCTTTCCAAACTCTGCAGTAGAAATAATGGACACCACTCGTTTATTCTCTGTGAAAACATTACAATATTTGCTATTGACAGCAATAGGATTAACCTAGGAAATGGAAATAAGGTGTAAACAAACGGGAATCATACAAAAGCCAGTAGTAAAAATTGAGGTTCATAAATGATAAAGAAAGAAACTGAGAAAGAAAAGAAAAAAAAACCCTAGCCAAACATGTCCGACAGTACATTTATGCACTTACCGTGTATAAGGATCCAGGAATCTTTACAAATTGCTCAATGGTCCCAGAAACTGGAAAATGAAACCTATGATAGTCCTGTTACAAGGCTACGGGAGTCAGTTTAAAGCAACAAAACCAGAAAAAATCATTTTAGGTTTGGTCATGTTACCAAAGTAACAGTGAGGAGCTTGCACCACCTACCTGTGGGGCCAACCTGAATATCACCAAAGTTCCATCAATAAAAGCACTTGAACAGATTTCTTTCCCCAGAAGACCTTGAATCGAAAACTTTCGACCCTAAAAATTGCCGATGCAACATTAAAGTGTGTTACTAAGTGTTTTTCTGGAGAAGAGGAAGGAGGACAATGAGAAGAAGAAAAAAAAATCATATAGAAAATTATGATAGTAGGATAGTGTAAGAGTACATGATAGATGGCTTAGTTGCAGTTGGTTAAAAGAATGATATAAGTGAGATCAAGTTGTTCTCTATATCTGTTTTGACTCATATTTCAAACAATGTGTAGAACTCAATATTAACATTTCACCTTAACAAAACAATTTTTCCGATTAGGAAACTATTATGAACCAAGAAAACTAAAACACAATATTACTTTCAATAAAACACACACACACACAGACATTGGAGATATTCCAAGTGGAAGCAGTAATACCTTGATCCAAAGTCGTAGACTATCTTGTACTGATTTAAATGCCATCAACCGACTATCAGCAGCACAGACAGCTACATCATCACGCTCCATGGAAGCAACTGGTCTTGCTCCAGGCTTTAACTCTCTCACAAAAAATTCATTAAATGTCTGAAACGACAAAAAGTAAGTTTCATATTGCCAAGAACCTGCAACTACCAGAAAGAGAAGTTCCAGCAATGCTACCATAAATTATGCTACCACAAATCCTAGAACCTAAATTAACAAGAATTAAAGCAGAATTGCAAGTTATGTGCCAAATCTCTATTAGTTCAACTAAAAATGCACCCAGAGTAAAGAGACTGCTTACATATGAATAACTGTCACAGAGCAAGCCAAGCTCAATTTTACCTATGGTACGCTTGTCATTTTGAAAGGGGGATCAAGTATGAATTTTATCGACTGTAGATATTGAGTGTGGGCAATGGTAGTATGTAGCTTGGTTACAGGGGGGGGGAGGGAGAGAGAGAGAGAGAGAGAGAGAACTAACATCCTCTATCAAAAAATCTCAACTTAGAAAATCCATGCTAATATTATTGAATTTAGTCTTAGTCTTTTATGCCCATAAAACTTCATTAAGAACTTAGTCTTTTTTCCAGTAATATTATTGAATTATTTGTGCATAAGCACACAAAAAAATAAAAATAAAAAGACAAAAGAAGCACCCCATAGAGCAAATTTATTCATCAGGTGAATCATTTTCAGCATTTTAAATTTGGAACAGTGCAGCAATTCTGGTAAATAAGTTGAAACTTCAAGATGCCTAGACTAGGTTTATTATTTATAACAAAGAATTGACTTATTCTTTCAACTTGAGCTTCTTTATATATACCACTCAAATACAGGTTAGGATTTACAGCAAGAATAGGGCACATCTATAAACCCATAAGAGTTACCCCCAGCCATTCTTGCTACCAACTGAGCTTTAAGTCCACACAAGGCAATGGCTCAACTACAGGAAAGGGCAGGGAGGATGTTTGGATTCCTAGGTCTACCAACAAGCCAGGGATTCAACTGCTTCCATTAAAAAGAAAGAAAAAAAATTCAAATTTCAATTACCTTAAAATGATCCAAAGGATACTTGACTTCAGCCATATTAATTTGATCCTGCAATACCATAGTTAACTTATATAAGAACACAACACAAATTTCTGAACTCAGGGATTTTTAGCAAGTTTAGACTTTAAGTTAACAACATCAAAACCAGCAGTGACCATGAATTAGACAGAGAAAGAAATGTATACCAATGGATGGATAAAAATATAAATGACAAAACAAGATCAAAAAATATCGACGCATGTCAAACGAGAGAAACATGATTGCTACAAGTTATGCACAATTATTCCTTTAGGAACCAGGATACAGCCAGAAATGTGAGAAATGATAAGGAAAAATTAGAGTGAAAAACATCCCTTCAATCAGTTTCCATAACAAGTTATAGCCTATCCAACATTACTAGTTTGTTGATCCATTTTGGTCAACATTTGACAAAAAAATTGGCAAGCAGAAAAATATTGTTGTGTGAACAATTAGGTCTTGCCCATTACAAAAAGTCAATGCAAAACATTTCATTTGTCAGGTGTATTTAATTATATTATAAATAAAAATAGGGAAGCCCAAAAAATCACATAAGCCTACAACTATAATAAATATTTGGCCATATCACTCAAAGCAACATATTAAAAATTCTACAGGTCAAAACTCTAAAGCATTCATCGAGTAAGTCAAAGCTATCATGACAGATTGCAATGGTTCTTCAATAAAACAGAGTATCATACCTTGAAAAATTCAACAAACTTTAATATATCTTTAGCAGATTCAACTGAATTCATCTGTCTTCCTTGCCTCTCCGAAATGCTTTGCAAGATTTCCTTTGCTCCTGCATCCAAACAGCCCACCAAAAGATTAGAGATGGGAGACATCAGTTAAGACTTCAGACTTTGGGAGGTCTACTTGCTGATAAAATTATTTAAAATTTACCTCCTTTGTGTATTGGATGGAATAATGATATAAATTAAGTAAAACTACAAGTTTATATATCTATACGATATGTAAAAAATAAGGATTTTGAAAAACTTTTTGATTGACAAAAAACGAACATCTTTACTCATTACATTTCGAAATTGTCATTTTCTATTTTAAATAACTTTTAATTATTATATAAATAATATTTACAATTTTACATAGTAGTATCATACAAGGATTGATGCTGGTAAAATCTTTTAACTGGCAAAAATAAACATATTTGTTCATTTTATTTCTAAACTGCCATTTAAATAATTTTATCATATATATTTCAGATTTATCAATTTGTAAATAAATATTCTAATTGCATTGAATGAATTTTATTAAAAATATTTATATTATAAATATTTATAAATTTTATCCAATACGTAAATAAAAATTCTAATTGAATAACTGCCATTAAAAACTACTTTTTCAAAATTTTAACAGTATTTAACAATATAGATCAATATTACAAATTCCAATGATTTATACTTCAAACTTTGCATTAGAAACATTTTTATTTATATACAAGTTTTATTTAAAATAAATAAAAAACAAGTATTCACATACAAACACACATGACAACAAATACTAGTTTGTAACTAAATGGCAAAAAGCTAAAAGGATTTATTGAGTCTAATATTCTATCTATTTCAATATCCTAAATTGTACATAAAAATCAAGTGAATATGCTAAATGGATGATACATTAATTTATCTTTCAGAGAGATGCAAAACACATGTGACTCATTTAAATTAGATCAGAGTCGATTTTTCTTGTAGTTATCCCATCCTATAAGGGGAAAGCCACGTGGCATTCTTGTTTTTGGCAGGGATCACACTCAAATTTGGATGTGTATTGTATTTATATAAGAATGATACTAAAAGCAATATAAAGGGTAAGATCATCTTTGAGCCACATTTCATCCCAATTAACCATCACACACAATGCATCCCTCATTGCGATATACAAAACCAATGTCAAATCTTGAATATGAAACCACCAAACTTGTCCATTTCTTCTATTATCTTTATAAAGAAAACAAAGAATGATCTCTCTTCATTTCAAATATTAGAAAGAATTTGCAAGTATAATCATAGTAAAAAAAATTGTCATTGCAATAATCTGCACATGAAATTGAAATTGGGTAAAGGTGCTACAAGGTTATTGCTCATTCTTAATCTAAATATGCGGCCCAAAGAAGCACAATTTTCAAAAGCTATCTTCAATCACGAAAATCCCACTACAGACAAATTATTTGTCAATAACTATTAAGATGAATTTCAACTTCAGTATGCATGCTATGAGTGCATGTGTAACACAAAAAGGCATACCTTTATCCATAAGGCCAAGTCCTATTTTTGACTGGTAAATGGCTCTCATTGATAGAACAATCTTTGCATCAATTAGTTCTTCAACCAGCCTCTTTGTCTTTCGGTCAAAGACCTAAAGCAACAAACTGTTAAAAGAATGATAACATGGAAGAGAAACTTCTACTGGAAGTACTGAAATGCAACTCAATAGCACCAAGAAACCACCAAAAATCAGCAGATCAAGATGAAAGTTTAAAAAAAAAATGAAAACCAAGAAAATGTACCAAAATATGTGAAGCACTTGACCCAGAGTTCAAACCAACATCGTATGATGAAAAATGAGCCCACTCACTTAGTTTGAACATCCACCTACAAAAATACAATTTGAACTTGCAATTTAAGCCATGGCAATAAAGTAAAATGATAAGAAATTTTAAGACAATATTCTAAAATCACATAGGTGAAGGACGAACATACTCACCCATATGAGGCCTGATTCTCAGTCAAGAATCCTCCTGTCATAACCTGGTTACCAGTTCCTTCGTCAAAACACAGAGTCAAATGAATCACAGTGTTCAGCTTATCAGAGACTTCAACTATCTCACCACAGACCGGGCAGCAATTCATAAGTGGTTCTCTGCAATACAGGAATGAAGTACACAAAAAGAACTGATAATACTGCATACAAGTTTATGGAAAAATTGCGAGTTGAATACATAGACAAAATAGATGGAAAAGTACTTCAAAGGCAGTCACCTTGTCTCACCAAATATACGACCCACTAGAGAATCGTGAGTAGGATATGATGCAACAGTATGATTATTTCATTCTTTGTCAATGACATCAGATGCAAATGGTAGTTTTTCCACATAAACCATCTGAAAAACATACATTGGCTGACTCTTGAAATCTTTTATTGGGATGTATAAACATGAACCCATTAGATCTACCATGAGTGATTTCACATAACATGGAAGCCCAAGAAAGCTCAGTCAGCACTCAAATAAGGGGCAGGACCCAAAGTTTACTCAAAGTGGGAGCTTGAATATATGTCGCACGGGTGTTTCATATTCCCACTACCCTGACTATGCATCCACCCACGACCAAATGATACCCTAATCATGTAAAATAAACTCACATTTGAGTTTAAGAACATCTGAGTTGCCATACAGAAACTAAAAGCAAAATTCAGATAGATGAGTAAAGCTTAAAGTGGTAACCATCTCTGACAAGTAGCCCCTACACTCAACGATGTGGAAATGAAAAGGAGCTGGATAAAAACACAGAAAATTATGGTGTCAAATTCTCAAGACAAAGGATTATGCCTTAACCTGCAAGGATTCAGCATCATGGGAAAGACACATAAAAATAATCTTGAACAATAGTACAATTTAGAGGACCTTTCAGGTTTTCTTTATGGAAACAGAGTGTACAAATGGTAAAAAACCTTAACCTCCTGACTGAATGCAAGATGTAAATGACACACTGTATAAACAAATGTAGCAATAAAAGCAAAATAGTTAATGCTGTTAAATAAAGTACCTCTATATATCATTTATAATTTAACTTATACTAGGGGCATTACTTTTCTTGTTGAAGAGCAAGAAGTGCAGCCAACTCATCCATGCTCACAACACCGTCCCCATTTTTATCAGCGGCTTTAAAAAGCTCCTCTTTCTAGCAAATCAGTGGAAAGTTAAGGTCAAGAAGATAAAGTTCCGTGAAAACTTTAGTACTAATAGGATCATTGAGATTTGATGGCCTAAAGAGAAGATTTTCTGGATACAATTCCAAAAAGATAATCAAAACCATAGGCTCATACCTTGCTACCTGCCACATTATTGCCAAAAGCATTAATTAAGTCAGAAAACTCAGACATCGAAAGCATCCCATCTTCATTATAGTCCTGAATACATACAATGCAGAGTTTTAATGCAAGACTAGAGAGTCACATCAGAAGTCCAAAACACAGCTTTTCAAAAGAACTATGAGCAATATCTCCAAATTTTTTAACTATATACATGGAAAGAAAAACAAACTATTCTCATTTCAATTCAAAATTAGATTTAAACTTGAAGAGCAAACTAACTCGCATCCATTAGGATTTATTTTATTTTATTGTTTTAAAAGCCATGATTCGTTACACGTGTACCAGTTGAGTTTCAGCTTTTCACTCAAACCAATCACATATAAAACTGCATACTCACCCTGTGGAGAACAACCAAAAGCACTTTAGCAATAGGGAAAAAGGAAATGAGAAGCGATTATATGAAAGGGTGTTATCATTGTATTATAGTACCACACTTGAAAGAAGCCTAGAACAATAACATCTTCCTTTTTCCTTTTCTCACCACAAACTACTGATCTTGCATCACAAAATAAATCCCAAAAAAGGAAAACCTAAGGCAGATAAATCAGACATCTTACACACAAAGAAACCCTCAAGCCACACCACATTCTTCTTTCTTCTAACTATGCATAAGATACACATTTAGTTATTTCTCAGATAACCAATTTCATAGCTAAGAGACAAAGGTCAATGACTACATTGAAACCTAACATTTTTTCTGGTAATATGTTCAAGCAAATAAAATGTGGGATTGAAACAGATTGATACATATGACTTACCACTATTGATAAGATTCTTCTTGCAAAATTTTTCTCTGTTTCAATTGGATCCTGACAGTTATTCCCACTAGATGTTAGAAATGATTATAATAGCTCCAATTAACTTAGATAATCAATTGTTACATGATGCAAACCTCAACATCACAGGAAAGACAAATGCGGCCAACAACTATGTCAGATGACACAGGATCAAGCAGGTCAAATGCCTCGAAGTCAGAATCTGAATCCTGAAATGAAAAGTTTTATGCAATGAAGTCATCCTAAACAGTAATATAAAAGAAGATGTTCAATGAGAAGGCTACTCACCCGTGCTAGATAGTCAAGTAGACTGATATCACAGTACCCAATGAGATTATTCTTTGATAACCTATTGGTCTGCACCAAAAGAGCATATGTACAAATTGAGTACAACAAGATATGAAAAGAGAAAATGAAATTAGTAAAATAAATAAATATTCACTTTTAGCTTGTTGCATATACCTCAAATACTGAGATTCTGGCAACCCGAGGTCCATTTCTTTCCAAAAGAAGTTTCCTCTCCTATCAAGAGATGAAATCATGTTGTCAGATAACAGTAGCAAACAATACATAACTGGGAACATCAATTCAATGTCATAACCTTCATAGAATATATTAGCAGCCTTGAACAGCCAGCAACATTCAATTGGTCATTTAAGAAAGAACAAATTCAGAAGAAACTGTCACAAGAACTATGACAAGGACAATGATATGGTATTCTATTCACACCACACAATTTGCTCGTGCCAGTTAAGAAATTATACGGAAAAGCATGTGAACATCAATGAGGTTTGAGCACCTCCAAATGTAAACCAAAGGTAGCAGCTCATTTTCATTTTAACAAAGTGAAGAATCAGCCTAACCTCCTTTGTGCATCTTAATAAATGCTACTGAATTTGATTTTTCATGCCCCGTGAGTTCCACAAATGATATTAAACCCATGGGATTATTCAATCATGCAAAAGTACAAGGATCAGCATTTAATCATATAGTTTCCGAGGTACTCACACAGTTCCAGTTGGGTTTGTCAGTTCTGCACCACCAAAGGAACAACACAAAGAAAACAGTTAAAAACATGCATAAAACTTGAAACAAAATGTCAAAAGTGCATCATCATTACAGAACGACTATGTGCAGCAGATTAACAGGAAATTATTTGCAATCAAAATATAGGCACCACTGTAAAGACTAAATTGCAAAGGCGTACCAATAAGTGTAAGGGAAAAAATACAAGAACTATTTTATTATGCTTAGCTGATCAGAAATGTTTGTTCGAAACGTTTGCTCTCCAAATGAAACACAAGCCAGCCACTTGTCCTTAAACTTCATCTCCGCCTAGAACCAAAAAATAATAATAAAATAAAATAAAAAAGATAAAGAATCGCAGTAAATGAAATAAATAATAATAATATTGAGTGAAGTAAGGAGACGGTGAATAATACGTTAATTAGAGTAAGGAGAGCAATGCCGGCGAAATCCTCGGCGGTATTGAGTTTCTGCTGAGAAGAAGAGCCACGTGCACGGTGGTGACGATGGCGATGAAGATGCAGTCGCTGCTTCAACCGAGAGATACGTGAGGGTTTAGTATCTGCATCCGATGAAGAAGAAGAAGAGGAGTCGTCCTCCTTTGAGCTCCCGTGTCCCATACTCTCTGAAGACTAAAAGCTACGTCGTTTCCTTTCCTTTCCTTTCCTCCGGCGTTTTGTCGGGTTTTTTCCTTTTGTTTGAAATTTTCAGAAGAGGAGGATTGGACCGCTAATTGTTCAGTATCCACAAAAAGTGCGAAAGTCAGAAGGAGAGGATATTTTGGTGGCCATTTGGTATCATTCCCTGCCTGCCCCTGCCCCTGCCCCGCTGGCAGTGGATTCGTCGTACTGGACTGGAAATTGGAATTATGAAAGGAAACTTCGTCCTCTAACGGGGTAGTGGTAGTGGATTTGGTGAGTGCTCGCTTGGACATGGGACCTCTTCTCTTTTACTATCACACGTGAGGGACGAGCAACACGTGCAAGTCAAACCGCCTTTTTGGGCCAAGAATAAACACCAAAAGTAAAAAGGAGGAGAAGAAATTTACATAAAAGGTGAAAAAGAAAACAAGCCATTGCCACCTTTTACCCTTTTTGTCAACTCATGCACTTACTGACAGTTGAAAACTCCTGAATTTTTGTTTATTAGAACAGGATATTATTATTACTATGGCTATTACTGGTAAACAGTTGAAAAATCAGTTTTTTAAACACTCATGTTTTCGTTCTCCCTTTATTAAATTAAATTTTAGTGTATTTTTGTAAGTATATTTTAAGATATTTTTTAAAGTACTTAATTCGAACACTTGTTAAACTATTTTAAAAAAATGTAAAGATCAATCCATTAAATATTGATGTAAATAGTCAAATACATAACAAAAATATACTTCAATAGCAGTCTATTATCAAATTAACTAATCACCATCATATTTTTGTGTTTGTTGAACCTCAGATTTGAGAAGACTATGTATCAATTCATTAATAACTCCCAAGTGAATTTTTAAAGTTTCAATATACAAAACAAGTTTCCTCAACCTCCACCAGATTGTGTGAGAATTTAAAAACTATTAACTTAATTGCATTTGAAAAATCAGTTTTAATCATCAAACAATGTAATTTACCTATTTTGATATCACCAAAACAATAAAAACCTCTCTTCCTGCATATACTCGTAAGATTTAAATTGTCTCACCAACTAATTTAGAAAACATTAGTTTTACAGAACCTACCTCGTCATGTAGAGCTAGGGATATATAAATACATACCGAATTGAATTAAAGTGAGTTTGATTTTTTTGGTTCGGTTAATTCAATTTTTTGAATAGTTCAGATATTAGAGTTAATTCGGTTAGGTTTCTATTAAAAATTTTTCTAAGCGAACTTGAATAAGAGTATAATAAGATTTTTGTATGGGAAATAAATCATAAACTATTTGTTATTGTTTTTATCCATATAGTTTAATTATTTCCTATTTTTATGAGTATCGATCTTATTTATTCTAATTGTTCATCATTATTTTTAACATTTTTGTATTATTAATTTATAAAAAAAATACAACATAAATAAATATATATAAATAAAAAAATTTAAATTCAATTTTTGAAAATCGAACCGAAACCAAATTAATTCGATTTTAATTAGTTCGATTATTTATGAAATTTAATTCGATTTCAATTATTTTTAAATATAAATTTGATTAGTTTGATAATTAAATATTCAAAACCGAATTAACGGAAATAATGGTTTGTTCTACTTTATATAAAGCTCCAGCTATATCCCTGCAACACTAGCTTTGCCCCTAATGATTCATCGACATTAAATTAAGTTGAGAAAGCCACAATGAGGACACTCTCATATATTCCCTATCTTCTTAATTTTTAACTTTTTTATTGGAACCAAGGCAACATTTGGAAATTTGAAAAAACCCATAACCAAATGATGGTATGCCAACCATCTAGCTCTATGCTTCCAAGCAATTCTCAACTTGATTACATCAAACAGTTGCATCATATCCAAAGGCTTATCTTCAAATACTATCTCACTAGATCATATGATGGCAAAGAAAATCATTCGTCATACAATATCACATTAGCTGTAGCAGAATTCCAAGCCAAGAAAAAAGGAACAGCACCCAGTGGAGTAACCCAAACAATCCCCCAAGTATTACAACACATTGATTAAATCTTTCAAGATTCACAAAAAGTTTTTTTAAAAAAAAAGGAAGGAAAGGATGGTTAATAGATTCATCATCCTTTTTATACAAAATACAAACAGCCAATCTCTTACTTAACAACCCTTTCTTTCACTAATTCATTCCTCATAGCCTCTTTAACTTTTAACACTTGCCAATAGAAAATGTCAACCTTAAGAGAGGTAAGACTTGCCAAAACCAACTTTCAAAGATCAAATTTGAGACAATGACTGCCAATTAGACTTAACAATTTATGTTTCTGTATTTTAATCGTGTCATGTAAATATAAGATATTAGTAGTTATATAGGTAAAAATGAACACCACATAATTAATTAACTAATCATGCCAAGATCTGAAATACATATATAGTTATGTTTAATAACAATATAATACAACACGAATAATGTGTTTATTAAACACCCCAAATTAAAGTTTTATACGCAATTAACATGATTAAATTAAAATACCTATAATTAAAATATAAT